CCCCCCCCCCCCCCCCCCCGTAAGAAACACCCCAAAAATGGATTTTTCATCATAACGAATCTGTTCATCAAGAAGTCAAATTGGGAACATAATAATATAATTCTGAAAATCCTACATAATTTTATAATATCATAATCTCAACGAACCGTAAAAGAACTTAAATTATAGGTAGGCATGGAATCTAATTCCTGGAGCTTTGCGTGCACGCTTGTGTGAAGGAGACACTATTTCTAGTTCAATGGAAGATGACAATGTGTATTATTAGAAATCACAAAAAAGAATACCCATAAAATAGGTCCAAAAAATAGTTTACAAATTTAATCTAAAAATAGTGCCACTAATATGTCAAAACTAATTTGCCACCTTTAGCTGTCATTATACATGGGCAAGTGTGATCTTCTCACGTTGTTCATGTCAAGCTTCTTTGGGAAACCTCCTACGCAGAAAAGTTACATCGTCGATAGATGTTAAAATGTTCTTAGCCCAGAAATCAAAATATTACTGGAAAGAGAGAGAGAGAGAGAGAGAGAGAGAGAGAGAGAGAGAGAGAGAGAGAGAGAGAGAAAGAGAGAGAGAGGGAGAGAGAGAGAGAGAGAGAGAGAAAGAGAGAGAAAGAGAGAGAGGGGGGGGGGGGAGAGAGAGAGAGAGAGAGAGAGAGGGAGCTAGAAAGAAAGAAGGAAGAGAGAGAAACATGCATAGCTCATTTCTTTTGTAAAAAGTTCATGTAGTTCGTAAATTTTGTATTTCTTCTTGCTCTTTTTCAAAATGTGAAATCATTTGAATTTTAACAATATAATATATCTTGACCACAAGCAAACAACAGCACAGATAAGAAACAGCAAATTCATTTGTTTTGTTTGTTTGAATAAGCAGAAGCACATCAACATACTAACTAATTTTGTATTTCTTCTTGCTCTTTTTCAAAATGTGAAATCATTTGAATTTTAACAATATAATATATCTTGACCACAAGCAAACAACAGCACAGATAAGAAACAGCAAATTCATTTGTTTTGTTTGTTTGAATAAGCAGAAGCACATCAACATACTAATTGTCATTTAGTTTTGCAAAAGAGTAAGAAAGACACAACAGAGGGAAAATAACAAAAGTAGGATAAAGCCGTGGCGCCCTCCAGCCACCCCGCTTAACTGTAATTAAAATCATAATTAATCATAACTTAGGGCTCAGTACATCTTAATTCTTAAGAACTGACCATCGATCTGAAATTGTACCAATTAAGTTTGGCTGCGAATACCCATAGAGGCTGGATCGATGGGATAGTCGGTTGTAAGTCTTACTGACTCGTTCGGATCTCACGACTTAACCCTGCGGCTGACAGCGTTTTCTGAACTGTTAAGCCGATTATCTTGTAAACTGAAAAACAGATAGCTCGAGTTTCCTGTAAAGCGGTTTTGTTTTTGACTTCTGATGACGTGTGTGTGTGTGTGTGTGTGTGTGTGTGTGTGTGTGTGTGTGTGTGTGTGTGTGTGTGTGTGTGTGTGTCTGTGAGTATGTGTGTGTGTATGTTGTATGTGTATATCTATAAGTGTTTATTTGTGTGTGTGAGTGTGTGTGTGTGAGTGTGTGTGTGTGTGTGTGTGTGTGTGTGTGTGTGTGTGTGTGTGTGTGTGTGTGTGTTGTACGTGTGCATGTATGTGTATATGTCTATATGTATATAACATGTATACGAGTGTTTCTATTCAATTATCCATTTCTTAGACACCTGAGCTTTCCAAGCAGAAATCCCAGTCTATTGGGGAAAAAAGAAGAAAAATAACGGAGATTCTTTTTTTCCAGGCAATCCCAGCATCTGAAATCAGCCCGACTTACGAAGACCGTCTCTCTGACTTGAAAAGGCTAAAATTGTATTTGGTAAGTCTGCATATGTTAGTGTTCAATAAAACTTTTGAAAAAATTATTTTCAAACGTTTTACCACAATTTCCAGAAATGCTTTGTTTACTGCTCTGTCATTTAGTAGTCCAATTGTTCGTGTTCTAAAAATCAAGTTAACTGGGGTTTTTTTTAATTTTTCGTTGATTTTCCAATTCAGGTGTCTTTAGCTCTTCTTTTCTTGTTAATATTTTCTTTTCTTTTTTCCAACTTACTGCTGCTGTTGCTGGTAGCATGTATGTCCTTCTTTCTGCCTGATTTAGACAAATTTACAACAGCTAAATTACGGGTCCTTTGCTAAAAATGCGTAAATATGAACTTAAAAGTGAAATGTAAAACTTGATTTGTCACTACGTTTCAACAATACTTCGATACCGTACTAGTAGTACACAGTTTCCAACTGAAGAGGATTTGGTTGGATGTAAAGATCGACATTCAGTTGTATGAACAAGAAGAGTTTAAGAAGGGATGTTGTAACTCTGGTTACTGTCTCTTTCATAAATATGCGATGAAGAAATTCAATTGAAGTAAAGCGTGCTGTTTGTTTGAAAAGGAAACAACTGGTGTTATCCACTCTTTCATTTGAATATACGTTTCTTGTAAAGCCACGATAAACGCCCCAACTGGCACTAATTTTTGTATTAATCAGCGATGTATCCTTCATGCAAACACACACACTCACACAAACACACATACGCACACCTGTCTTACACACACACACACACACACACACACACACACACACACACACACACACACACTCATTCATACAAATGTTACACACAAACACACATGTTATATACGTTTTATCCGAGTCTCCTTCTTACAAGAAATATACACAGAAATGTGAACCATCTTTATTCCGGGAGAAACAAACTCACACCGGTCTAAATAATGAAAATGCACTGAACACCAATTGCAAGGCCTGATAGAGACACGACTTGAATCATTGTCTCGAATCCAGACATCATTTACCTTACAGTATTGAATATACGAGTAGTCTGCAAATACTTGCTTTATATCAGAGGTTAGTGTGCCGTTTCACATGTCTCTACCCCAGAATTACAAAGTTCTATCTGCTCAGTTTTGAGAAAATTGATGTCAAAGATTTTGAGTTTCAAATCATGTTTCGCTTGTTTTAAATGCAACTCTTTGAATATCTTAATAAAGACTCTAAATAATTTTACGATTCAGATAAAGCAGATAGAACATTCAGTTTTTGACCTCAATTATTAAATGAAAAAGGCCAAAATTGTCAGATAGAATTTTGTAATTCTAAGGTAGCGATATGTCAACATGACGAAAAGACGTCTTTTACTAAAAATGCGTATAACACAAAATAAAAATCTGAACTCTCGAAGTAAGCCAAGCTCTCAGAGGACGTGACTGCCATTCCTCTATGAGAGAGTTTTTTAAAAGTCAAGTGTCTTGGTCTTTTTGCTGAGATCTTGCATCCATTTCAGCCTGGGAAGAACTCTAACAAACAGTGTCAAAACCTGCTTTAAACTATGTCAATGAAGGCGTAAAAAACTGTATTAAAAAGAGGTTATTTGAAAGCCTTCGTATTACTGAAATGTAAGAGCCACTTATTAAAGAGGATGAAGCACTCTCTCACCATTCTGACTAATGGACACGCTCCTTTGCGTGCATAAAAAGCGAGACCTTTATAAGATCGTAAGAGAATTAAACCTCCATTCGAGACCTCATTTAATGTTGTTTTCGTTTTAGTAAAAGTTTCACGGCACTTGCAACACAATAAGGCCATATAAATGTCGAAGATTAGAGGTGTTACAAGAGAGTAACAAACACAAAAAAGAAGGAGGATTGATGAGGGTGACAAATGTTTGATAGGAAAGAAGGAGCATACCACACCCGAGCACCCACCAACCACTCACTCAATTACTCTAAAGTATAGAAAAAATATTAGGAGTTAGCAAACACTTGCCTTAGAATGGAGAATAGAGTGACATTCCAGACATGTTAATATGGCGAGGAGAGTTGCCTGCAGCATGATATGAGAAAACTCAACTGCCTTATAGCAGAATTTTTTTCCCCCGCAAACCCGATTTCTTCGGTGTTTAAGTGGAATACAGTTCAGAAAAATAAGACCCACGGAAAAAATGCCCGTTGCTAAAATCGATCAAGTTATTCTCGAAGTAAGTCGAAATTATGAACTTGAAATATTTGCAGACAAGTTCTGCATTTATTGGTTAGTTCAACTAGAATAAAGACAAACATGTTTATTTGGCTTCTTTTTTACTGGAGTTTGTCTCTATTCATACTGTGTTTGTTTAACTACTAAGCTGAAAAAAAATTGAGTATTAATTTTTACCAAGTGAACTCGAAGCTAGACAAGGAATTTGAATATTGCACAAAGCTCTGAGCTCGAAGGCACTCCTACAACATCAGTTTATCTTAAAGTCCACACTCACTTTTGAGTGACTAAAATGTAAGAGCTACGGTATTCCGGAGGAAACCAAATTCCGCCGTTCCGAGCTACGAACCTGCTCTCATGAGTGCATAAAGTGAGAGGCCTTTTAGAGGAGCCAAATTAAATCACTGTAGATGGACTTTCAACGTTTTAGAGAAAGTGGCCAACATTAAGGCAATTGTCCAGAAATGTCAGGCCTCTTCCTATTTTATTTGCCCACTCTCGTTTTGCTGAAGGGAAAGCCGGCGAGTCGACTGCATCTTAGTTTTGTATCGTTACGCCATTTGAGTACAAGGATTCCAATAATAACACACTAAGGTGTATTTGCCGAGTCATCTCACATTTTCCATACGCTATATGCTCTCTCCAAACGAAAAACCTCATTTTACCCCAAAACTATATAAACTAGATGTCTGCAAGTGATTACTTTTTATTGGACAATATCTGGTTTCAGATATGGAAATACGTACAAGGATAAGTGAGAATATCATTTCTGTGTCAGTGTATCTTGCAAGTTGTGTATATAAACAAGAAATGTCCTGATAAAATGGATATTCACTTTTCGATGGGGCTCCTGGTTATATAAACATGTTCTCCCCTTAGCAACTCAGTTTTGTGTAGAATACAAGAAAATACAACATTAGCCATCTTGACAAATTTGAACTGTCGCTTATATCTATGTATTGACGGAAGATAGTTAATGTGATTTTATTGATACAACTTCCCCGTTGTGGCGATAATGTTTTAGCAAAGTATCAACCATTAAGCCGTTCATCCAGAAATGTCGATGCCCTCAGCTTCGATACGTGTTTGTCAAAGGATTTTCTCTGCCGTAATTTTTTTTATTTCTCGTTCTGGGACACAGACTTGGCAATTCCTGCCGGATTTATTCAACGTCAGAGGCAGGTAGAAAGTGAAGCAGGGAAGGAAAACATAATGTGCCCAATCCCTTGTATTGAGCTTCATGGATGTTCTGTTACCCGTCATTCTCTCATCTTTTACCCCAAGCAATCAGCGTAGTTTAGCAAAGGCTACACAGAGGATAGGTGGACAAGAGAGTGGTATGAAGCCAGTGAAATTTTTTTATTTCCGTCAGACGCAAGAATCTTGCCAAAGGTAATATTCAACTATATCGTTTGTTTACGACACAAATAGTGTTAAGTGTACAGATTAGTTTTGACAAATATTTTAAAGTCGTATCCAAAACAATGAAATACTGCCTGCGGCAATTTGTGGTGTTTGTGATTATCACAAGTTGTTTTCTGTTATCAAAATGTATTTTTCTTTAAAATCTTTATCTTGGTGCTATTATATGAAGTATCTCACAAGGTCTATAATAAAAATGTGTCCTCCTTCTAGCATGTTAAAGGTAATCTTTAATGTATACGGGGTGAACTGTTGATATTATTGTTTTCTCAAATTGTGCATTATAGCTCTCATTACTTTCTTCATAATAATTGTGATGAATGTCTTCTTATTCATCTCACTTTATTAATAACTGTATGACCTTACAATGAAAGGTCTAAATGCTTTAAGTGAAGGGTGAAACCAAATTTTAATATCTCATTTTTGTCTGTCTTTATCCTGTTTTCCTTTATGGAACAATGTACTCTTTCCCTGGGTCTTTGTGCAGGGACGTTGTATCATTCATTGTACGGATTCGTCCCTTGGGGGGTGGGGTGGGGGGGGGTCGTTTTCCTCTTTCGAGTGCCTTGTTAATGATGTAATAGATCCGCATCCAACACTCATTGACACTGGCCATTTGAGTGAGTAAGTACGTTAAAGCGAAGAATGCCTTTTAAAAGATGTAAATTATGTCAACGGGTGTGTAAGAATCCATAAATTTAAATAACAACAACAACAGCAACAATAACATCAACAACAACAGCAACAAAAACAGCAACAAAGACAACAACAACAACAAAATGTTCGCCAATATTCTTGTCCCGGGCAACGGATCTCGGCAATCGTTAACATGGCAACGTTGTTTACGCCACATTAGACTTGCAGCTACCAGGGGTATGCACATTACGTCGCGCACGGCTCTGTTCTAATGTGGAACACCGTTCCTGCTACGCATATTGGCGCGCGCATTTCTGCCTTCATAATTACCGCAGACGACGGAGACTGTGAGCACAATGTTCCGCCTGTTACAGGGGTCTGGCTTGAACACGTGAAAACATCCTGCCGTGAAGAGATTTGATTTTTATTCTGCATTCTTTTATTTTATGTTCGTCTTAAATTTCCTGAGTGAAAGTTTTACGAAGCACACATTTACAGTATGTTATGTTTACTGACTTGTTCTTCCTATTTGTTTAATGTGTTCTGAGTTATGTGCAGACATATTGTTATTATTGTTTTGGAGTCAGTTTTACTGTTTTTCTTTCTTATAGTTATTCTCTTTGTCGAAATGGGTTGAGAGAATGTGTGGCAACGAAGAGAAATGAACTTGAAAGAGTTCATGCAGGAGTGTTTGTGTGTGGGGATTTTTTTTCATATGCGTGGATGTGTGGATGTTTGTGAATGTGTATGCGTGTGTGTGTGTGTGTG